GAAGGAAGGAAATAAAGAAAAGAAAGAAGGAAGGAAGGGAGGGAGGATGGAAGGAAGGAAAGAAGGAAAGGAATGAAGGAGGGAAGAAGGGAGGGAAGGATGGAAAGAAGAAAGGATGGAAGGGAGGGAGGGAGAGGGAGGGAGCAGGAAGGAAGGGATGGAGAAAGGAAATAAAGAAAGGAAGGAAGGAAGGGAGGGAAGGAGAGAGAGAGAGAAGGAGGGAAGATGGATGGATGGATGGATGGATGGATGGATGGATGGATGGATGAGGGTTTGGAGCTTCTGCAGACACGTGTGTAAACAAACCTCGACAAATAGTGTGCATGCATGTGCGTGCGTGCGTGCGTCTCACCGCCTCCGGAGTCTCCGTGTGTGTAAGCGCCGGACGCTTTCGGAGCGTGACCCGTGCCGTTGATGGTGGACTCCAGAGTCCCGGTGGGTCCTGGCGGTCTCTGAAGTGCGTCGTGGCCCCGCGGCTCCTGTCAACAAGGAGGAGACTCAGAACTGTGTCGGATGAAAAATGGATGTCGCCGCTTCGCACGACAGAAGTTCTGTCATTTATGACTCGCAGGACCGGCCTTTTGATTTCATGTGAAACTTTGTTTCTGCAAATGTGTAAAAAAACCAGTCCCGTTTACCAGACAGCGTCAAAAATATCATCTGTGAGCTGAAACCAATCCGTGAGAGGATTAGAAGTTAAGACTCAGACAAGCAAAAATCTCACTTTAATTTTGACCTTGATTTGTGAGCTTGACCTTGGTGGGTTAAAACTGTACGCAACACTCTGCCTAGTGCCGATGCATATGTTTATGAAATTTTATTAAACTAGCAAGTGGGTCAGATGTGGTTCAGGTAACCAAGAACTGTGTTTAAACTTTGACCTTGATTTATGACCTTGATTTGGGTGGGGTAAACGTGTACATGGCATTTTGTTTAGCGATGATGCATATGTGTTTGACGTTTTGTTAAATTATGAACAGATTGAAAGCAACGACCAAGACGAGCAAAATTTTCTCTTTAACTTTTACCTTGATTTATGACCTTGACCTTGGACATGGTGGAGGGATTAAATGTATGGTATGCAACACTTTTCCAAGTGATGATGCATATGTTTATAAAGTTTCATTAAACAATCGAGCAGATCAAACATGGTTCAGACAACCAAGGGACCTTGTTTTAACTTTGACCTTGACTTATGATCTTGACCTGGGTGGTGGTAAAAGTGTACATGACATTTTGCCTAGCGATGATGCATGCGTGTGCGACATTTTATTAAACTATCTTGAGCAGATTGGAAGTTACGACTCAAACAAGCAAAGAGCTCGCTTTAACTTTGACCTTGATTTGTGACTATGATCTTGGAAATGTATGTAATACTCTGCATAGTGATGATGCATATGTTAATTAAGTTTCATTCAAATATGAAGCGGATCAGACGTGGTTCAGACAACCAAGGACTGTGTTTTAACTTTGACCTTGACATATGAACTTGATCTGACTGGGGGTCAAAATGCACAAGACAATTTGCCTAGCGATGATGAATAAGAGAATTAAATTTTGTTAAATTATCTTGAGCGGGATAGAAGTTACGACCCAGACAAGCAAATATCTCACTTTAATTCGACCTTGATTTGTGATCTTGAGCAGGGGGTGGTGGAGGGGGGGATAAAAGTGAGTGTGTATGTATCACTTTGCCTAGTGATGATGCATACGTGTATGACATTTTGTTAAATTATCTTGAGCAGATTAGAAGTTACGACTCAGACAAGGGAAAATTTCACTTTAGCTATGACCTTGATTTGTGACCTTGATATTGGTGGATAACAAATGCATGCAACACTCTGCCTAGTGACGATGCATATGTTTATGAAGTTTCATTAACCTATCAAGTGGATCAAACATGGTTCAGACAATCAAGGACCTTGTTTAAACTTTGATCTTTACTTATGACCTTAATCTGGGTGGGGTTAAAAGTGTGCATGACCCTTTGCTTAACGATGAAGCATAAGAGAATTAAATTTTGTTAAATTATCTTGAGCAACTTAGAAGTTACAACCCAGACAAGCAAAGATCGCCAACTTTGACCTTGATTTCTGACCTTGACCTCTGAGCTGGGGGGGCGGGGCTAAAAGAGCATGCAACACTCTTGGTGATGAAGCACAGCTGTGTCATGTTTTATTTAATCATCTTGAGAAGATCAGAAGTTATGGGCGGTACAAGAAAACGTTTACAGACGGCAGGAGACTTTAGCTCATTCGAAGGTTGCATAAACATAAAAAATATTAAAAGTCTTTCTGTGAATTATCAACAATGAGGCGACTGAACAACTCTGAGAAGAGGCAGGCGTGCTATCAAACATGCAACACAACGAAGAGCCCCCGGAAGATAAAAGCAGCTTTCAGTGGTCCAGCAGCTCCCGCCGTCCACCAACACACGCCACCAAGACGGCGCTCAGCCATGAAAAGGTGTTTTCCGGCTGATTCATCGCATCAAAGCAGCGGGTGTCGGTGCGTCTGCGGCGTCGCGCGGTCCCTGAGGTGTCATTAGCGGTGAGCGCGCATCTCGATATACCACGATATCGCTCTGCTGTCAATCAAACCGAGAGCAATAAGAAGGCTCCGACGGTTCTCGATGGTAAATGGTAAATGGTAAATGGAGCTTACTTCTATAGCGCCTTCCAGCCCCCTATGAGGGGCCCCAAGGCGCTTTACAGTACCAGCCATCCACCCATTCACACGCACATTCATACACCGGTGGCGGTAGGCTGCCATGCAAGGCGCCATCCAGTCCCACCGGGAGCAACTCGGGGTTAAGTGTCTTGCCCAGGGACACAACGGCACAGGGTGTGGGAAGTCGGGATTCGAACCTCCAACCTTCCGATCAGAGGTCGGCTGCCACTACCACTGCACCACGGCCGCCCACAATCGATGACATGTAAATCCTATCAGAGCGGCCCTCCCTGCAGCGATCCCTCCATCTGTCCTTCAGCTCGAGGCCTTTGAAGCAGAGTGGCAGACAGGCAGAAAGATATCTTAATCCCTCAACAATAGGTAAACGCCGGGGGGAGGGGGGTGTTGTCAATTGATGCAAACAGCCGAGTCAGACACTCCAAAAAGAAAAAACTTCTGCCTTCTTAGCATTCGTTTCTTCATTTCATTGTTTGGACGAGCCAATGGTTTGTTTTCAGTATAAACAAGTGGAACGTTGATGTCCCCCGTCACCGAGGGATTTGAATAGCATGTGTTTGTACATTTGGACAAGAGTGTTTTTCTGGATTGTAATTGAACAGGGAATCAAAGTAAACCTAAATGTTCTTGGTGCAAGACATTCAAGTGGAGAGACCAAGAGTAGAACTGCTGCTCCTCCACATTGAGAGGAGCCAGTTGCGGTGGTTCAGGTATCTGGTAAGGATGCTTCCTGGGCGCTTCCCTAAGGAGATGCTTCGGGCATGTAGGAGGAGACCCCAGAGAAGACCAAGGACACGCTGGAGAGACTATGTCTCTCTGTTGGCCTGGGAACGCCTTGGGAGTCCTTCCAGAAGAGCTGGAAGAGGTGGCTGTGGAAAGAGATGCCTGGACTTCCCTGCTCAAGATGCTACCCCCGCAACCCAACTTTGGAATAAGCAGAAGGTGATGGACGGGCGGACGGATTCAAGTGGGGAGGAGTTACACCGTGTATGTCTGAGGCAGGTCAGAGTGACGGATCCTGACGAAATATATCCAACATCTGGTGCAATAAAGAAGCCAGGGGGTGGCCAATGGTGACCTTGGCCCCCATAAATTCATCTTTAGTCACCCCACTCATTTGAGGAAACTACACTTTTAAACAATATAAAAACTAAAAAGCATCAAATGACCAGGGTGGCCGGTTTACATATATACATGGTGGTGGCCATCTTGGATTTTGACATGCGATTTTTGACAGTGACCTCTTACACCTAGATGCAGCCACACACCGAAATGGAACTCTACAAGTCACTTATTTATCAAGTTAACACCCTCACAACACGGATGGACAGACTTTCCGACTGAGGGGATTTCCAATTCCCCCTCTTCGCTCCGTGATGGGGACAAAAATAATCAGAAATTAAAATGTCATCTCTGTTACCTTTTAATAAGTGGCATGGTGACACCTGGCAATTATAGGAACAATTCATCCATCCATCATCCATTATATTTACCCGCTTCTTCCTTTTCAGGTCATGGGGGTCACTGGTGCCCATATTCAGCTATCACTGTGCGAGAGGCGGGGGACACCCTGGATAGGTCGCAAGTCCATCACAGGGCCACATATATAGGAACAAATAAATCAAAATATTTGACTACATTTACAAATACGGTAGTTCTGGATGTTTTATAATTTAAGGCTGCTTAAAGAAATGCATATCAAGACATCACGTTCTGACTCTAATTAATCACTTTTAGCTACCACCACATTGAATTTTAGCTCAGTATCAGCAAAACTGACTGAGACATCCATTTTTTTGTGTGTAGGCTAGCGTGGCTTTGCTGTGGTGGCCATATTGAACTGTACTTACTGATTCTTATCTGAACGGCAGGAGCTTTTGTGTTAATTTAGGTTATATTTTATCTGCTCCAGTGGCCCTTTCCTGCGGGGTCCCGCCAGGCTCGATTCTTGGACCCCTTCGGTTTTCACTATCTGCTCCCTTTGGGGTCTATCCTGAGGAAACATGGTCTTTCTTTCATTGTTATGCTGATGATTGTCAGATTTGTCAGCCCTTAAAACCAAGTAGTTTGTGAACAATTACATCAAGGCACGGATGGCTTCAAATTTTTAAGTTTCAATGATCAGAAAACTGAAGTCGTGTTTAGCCCTAGCTCTACCACTGTCTGTTTCTGTAAATCTGGACTCTCTTGAGCCATATCTTTTCAAGTCCGTTATAAATCTCAGGATGGTTTTAGACTACAAGTTTAATAAACAGATTAACTCTGTTCTGCAGAAAAGCTTCTTCCAGTTGAGGCAGGCTAAGCTTAAGTCTGTATTGTCCAGATCTGACCTTGAAAAAATGGTCTGCCTTCATTACAACCCGACTGGACTACTGTAACTCACTTTATGTTGGGGTCAGTCATGTCTCCCTTTAACATCTCCAGCTCGTCCAAAATGCTTCAGCTCTGCTCTTAACAGGAACTGGTAGGTTTGATTACATTACACCAGTTTTGGCCTCCCTTCACTGGCTCCTTGTACGTACCAGAACTGATTTTAAAATTCTCCTCATTGTTCTGTGTTTTTATGTTTTTTTCTTTTGATGCTTTTAATTACATTATTTTTCCCCCTTTCATTACAGCCATTGATTTTATTGTTAAGCAGTTTGGTAACAGCTAATGTTTATAAATGTGTTTTATAAATAAATTTCACTTGACTGATTACTAACCGACAGTTTCAGTAAAATCTGTCCAGTGGTTGACTCATCTACAACAGGTAACACATTTGTTCAAAGGCCTTCCACTTTAAAAGAACTGAAGTGTCCCTTTAAGGATCCACTATCCAGTTCCAGACACAAACAGGGACACTGAGGGGGGTTCTGCATTCGTTTGCTTAATTTAACAACATTATAAAGTCCACAGACAGGCTGTTAAAGGATGGAAAAAGAAGGACTATGCAGATACGACTTGAACTTTGAACCGTGTCCAACTCCACTTATCCACAGGCTCAAATCACTTAAAGATAAAAAAATAAAAAAATAAAACGAGCACAGTGTGAGGGAGCCATAGACGGGATGAAAATGCCACAATGAGCAGGTCAAACCAGGACCCTCCCATTTCACCTCTTCCTTCCAACATTTATCGCTAAACATCTGCTTTAAAGCTGCCGTGACACGTTCTTTACGGCTTTTGAAATCATCGTTCGGAGTTCATGGCAGGGTTCAGCAGAACCAAGAGGAGCCGTTTTCTCTTGTTTTTTCATAAGGTCCTCCTCTGTCTGTGTGTGCAATAATTTGGTTTCTTTAGGGAAGAAGAGTCCAACGTGAGCGTTCATGATAAAACATTAGGTCAGAGGACGTGATAACGATGTGAAAAATGTTTACAACGTGGCAACTTCTTTTAACGTGTGGGTTTAAGTACCTCATACGGCACATTACACAACCGTCAACCAACTATTATGCAGCAAAACAATTTATAGATTGCTCATGCAAGCAAAGATCTTGTATGAGGTTTGACCTTGGTTTGTGACCTTGACCTGGGGTGATGAAAAGTGACTGCAACACTTTCTCTGCTGATGATGTTTGGATGTTCTGTGTCTGCCAGACCCGGTTCTGGAGGGCAGTCATCGTCTATTGCCACGGTCATTACTATCATCATGCTGCCAACAGAACCACTCTGCTAACAGGACCACACTGCTAACAGGACCACACTGCCAACAGAGCCACGCTGCCAACAGAACCACTCTGTTAACAGGACCACACCGCTAACAGAGCCACGCTGCTACCAGGACCACACTGCTAACAGAGCCACACTGCTGGCGGTACCACTCTGCTAAAATGACCACACTGCTAACAGAGCCACACTGCTGGCGGTACCACTCTGCTAACAGGACCACACTGCTAACAGGACCACACTAATAACAGGACCACACTGCCAACAGAGCCACGCTGCTGGCGGTACCACTCTGCTAAAATGACCACAC